TCAATCGAATCAACTGACAAGAGAAAAGAAGGCAACTCGCTGAGAAAAGACCTCGAATTCAACCTAGCGGATCCGACCTTTTGTGAACTCTTCCCCGCGATAGCGGAGGTAGGTATTGGTGGCACGAAAAATCCGAGGCAGACTGATGAGCATCAGATACACGACCTGTGATTATCGTACGACGCGTTCTTCGCTTCATGTTGTCCTCGATAGAAAACTTGTTCGGTCTCGATGACCTACGTATCGATTGAGTGAAACTTGAATGATTTTCCGCATGGAGCAAACTAGGAATCACCGAATGGATGTTCTGATGATTTCGATGGAGCGAGTCGATCATTCAAAAGATCCGATCACGCTCCTCATTTCATGAAGCCTCTCTCTCTCACCGGTATCTCGTGTTGAAGTCAGAGCTTTCGAGGCTTAGTCATGTAGAATATTTTTTCCGGGCGCTCAAAGAGCACTTGCTAATACGATTCTCGCGAGCTCTCGAATGGGAGAAAGATGTCCGCCGAGATTATTTTCTTCCAGCCTTGAAGGAGAATATTGTATTGAATTCATTTAATGTGGAACAGAAAGGAATCGACATATTTGTTGATGAAAGACTCATACAGAGTCAAATTCGGGAAATCACGAATCGGTCCTTTTCCTAAAGTGTCGATGCACCGAAAACTTACGTGTTTGGGAAGAATCACCACGCGTCGATGTCACCGTGGATCTAAAGACGACCGACGTGAGATGTGAGAGGAACGGAGATGCTGATTTATTATCGATGAATAAATCCTCGTTATTTTGTCATTTATTTATCGTGAATTATTTTACGGCAGTCCCCGTTTGAACGGAGAGAAGTGAGTCGATCGGAGATGGAAGGAGTCAGTGCCCCGACGACGCGACGCCGCATCATCTGGTCAACGGAGGGCTGAGGTTTCGGAAGCGATTCCGATGTCACGAGTCACGAGGAGTCAGTCGGTGTCCCGATGTTCTTTGACCTCGAAAACTCGATCTTGAGTGAGGAGCCTCTCCTAGGCTTCTCAGTCTCTCTCTCGAACCGGGATCGACCCTGTATCTTGCTCTCAGTTTCCCTGTTGAGCATAGCACAGAATTTAGATATCTGCTTCCACTAGATAACGATGGGCGAGCCGTCTGATAATCCGCCGCGTAAACGGCCAAGAACTGAGGAAGTCATAGGCAATTTGACGGACAACATCGGATCGACAGCCGATAAGCATGGGCCAGCCGCTTATGGGCTTCATCTCGAATCAGCTCAGCACTTTTTCAAACAGAAGTATGACGCCGACGAGTGTCCCGAAGCAGCTTTGAGTGATTTCGAGTTCAGTATGCAGCTGGGTTCAGGATGTTACGGGACAGTTTATCTGTCCCGATACAAAGATGGCCAAGTATGTGCGCTAAAGCAATCGACGTATGAGAACGCTCTCGAAGAGAAAAGGATCATCTACTCTCTTGAGTCGCCGTTCATAGTGGAAGTATTTTTTGCTTTCCGAGACGACAAGATTATCTACATCGCCCTCGAGCTCGCGCCGCGGGGAGCTCTATCACGGCACATTACGTGCATACGAGATTCGAGGTCCGAACAGCCCGTGAAGCTCATTTCAGCTCAAGTTGTCTTAGCCCTAGAGTACATGCACGAGTGCCGCGTAGCGCACAGAGATTTGAAATGTAGCAACATTGTCCTGTTCGAGGATGGATACGTGAAACTCTGTGATTTCGGTATAGCCATGGCGATCCGAGAAGACGATCCTAATCAGATGTTCAGACTGACGGGGAAGAGAGGTGTGATCGCGCCAGAGCAAATTAAAGCCCTGTTGGTTTCATCGCTCTGCTCTGACTGGTGGATGTTCGGAATGGTTATCCGAGACCTCTTGCCCCTAACCGGAGGCTTCGAAGGGGCAGAGGCGACACCTTCCGACTCAAGTTTGAGCGATTTCCTCCGCGGACTGTTCCACGAAAAAGTAACCGAGCGACTCGGCGTGACGTTGGGCGGCGCGAAAAACATCAAAGAGCATCCATGGTACCGTGACGTGGATTTCCGGCAGCTCTACCACAAGAATATTCCGATGTTGGAGAAATTGCCGCCTGAGATTAATCAGGTCAACTTGGGGGAGGGCGCGATTTTTTCCAAAAAGTTCCCCGAGCTGGTGCCAGGCAGCGATTCTAGCGTGAGCAAGCCCGCCAGGGTTCCAGACGACTCATCATGATCGAATCTAAATTATCACGGGGGAGATTCCGTCTCGCACACCCGAAACGGCACTAGAGACTACCTGGACAATATGCTTCGATTTGACGGTGTATACGGCCGCACAGTGAGACAAAAATTGTTGAGGGCCCACATAATCGGAGACGCACGGCAGTACGGTCTGAATAAACAAGAAATGGGGAGCTCCACGCGAACGGAGCTTATTTCACAACCGGCTTGGCCCCAAGGCATCTTGGCTCCGCGACGAGCTTCGAATATTCACTGGATCAAATGTATCCTAAAGGTATTCGTAACGGCCCTCAGACTTATAGCGGTCAGGGAGAGCCTCATGCAGAGACGATGCTTCCCAGGGTCCCTGAATATTTAGGAGCATTGTCGTCCTTCTCAGGATTTTGGATTTCTCTCGAAGAGAGCTGAGTTCCTGAAAACTTGACCTTATTCAAGAAGATCCGGAGTTGGAAGCGAGCAGCGAAATGTCATGAG